CTTTAATTTCTTTATGTCCCAGCTTTCGGGGGTGGGGGGGATTCCCCGTTGTTGTTAGTAGCCAGCAAAGCCAGATATCATGACACTCATCTCAGTTGTGTGGGGTCCAAACATTGCTTATAGTGGCAACCCTCCCCAGCTCAGGGTCCCCACTCCTCCAAGGAGGGCTACGTACCTTTGGATTGCTCCTGGGCAGTTGTGAAGTGCTGCAGATTGTGAAGGTGACGTTTTTTCTCTCCAGAAGGGAATTTCTGCCTCTTCCACCTCAGTCAAGATTGTTGTTTGTTGTACAACCATTTCTCAAAAAGAAAAAAAAAAAGATTGTTGTTTATTGCAGTGGTTCCTCTTATGCAGTTTTCAGTTCTCGCTCAGGGGTAATTTTTCCAAGAGTAGTTGTAAGTCCGCTGTGTCCATGGGAGGAGGTGGGTTCAGAGTCCGCCTATGCTGCCATCTTGACTTCTCTCCCTGTGATTTTTTTTTAAGTTAAATATTCCATGGTATTGACTGAAGATATCCTGGGAGGAATATAAAATAAAAGCCTAAGGAACAGTCTCCGGCCCTAAAGGCACATGCAGCATCACTGGAGAAAAAACTATTTATCACAAAAGAAAGTATCTAAGACATTAGGAACAAAACCACTCAACAGTAGACACCATAAGTCAGTACAAAATTAGTTGACAAATCAGTCATATAGATATTACTTAAGATGTTCAGATGTGAGGGAAAGAAAAACATCACTGTCATCTAAAGTGGTCAGGGAAGGCCTTATAAACAATCTCAAAGGTCTGGTAAAATATAGAGAGATCGGAAAGGAGAATCAGTGCATGCGGGCACATGCACACAGACACAGACACGCACACACAGACACACACACACATTGCCCCCACGGAGAGCTGTGTATGTGTAAGAAAAACCATGGCAGGCCAGAGAACCCGGCCAGTCAGGGGAGAGTAAATTAGTTTGACGAGCATTCCACCCACTTGGGCAGGCAACAGGAACCTTTTATTAACCCCATACAAAAATGACTGTGGATTTGCATATAAAAAGATTTCCCTGCTTGACTTACCATAAATATAAAGCAAACAAAACTGGCATGAAAACAGCTTTAGATGTATTTTAAATCAAACAGATGTCTATTTTCATGTAAAGCTATAAACTATATCTAGTACCTTTTAATAGAAACACAAAACCTATAGCTATCCATAAATATAGAGAAAAAAAGGAAAAAACAAATGTCAACACCAGTAATCCCAGTTCTGTGGAATCATGGGAGACTTCGCTTCCTTGCTACTTTTCTGTACTTTCCAAGTAGGATTTAAAAACAACAACATGGGCCGGCCCCGTGGCTTGGCGGTTAAGTGCGCGCACTCTGCTACTGGCGGCCCGGGTTCAGATCCCGGGCGTGCACCGACGTGCCGCTTCTCTGGCCATGCTGAGGCCGCGTCCCACATACAGCAACTGGAAGGATGTGCAACTATGATGTACAACTATCTACTGGGGCTTTGGGGGAAAAAATAAATAAATTTTAAAAAAATAAAAATAAAAACAACAGCGTTTTTTTTTTTGATATTACTTTTATAATGTAAAAAATTTTATTTTAAAAGCACACATATCAATATTCATAAATGTATGGAATATTATTGGAAGAATCATAAGGAACTGGTAACAATGGAACACTTCGGAAAATTGGTTGGCATGACAGTAGAGGGTCAGAATATATACTTTTCATTGGAGCCCTGGATGTTCTGAATTCAGTACATGCATACCTTGTTTTATTGCGCTTTGCTTTATCGTGCTTCGCAGATACTGTTTTTTACAAATTCAAGGTTTGTGGCAACCCTTGTCGAGCAAGTCTATCAGCACCATTTTCCCAACAGCATTTGCTCATGTGTCACTGTGTCACATTTTGATAATTCTCACAATATTTCAAACTTTTTCATTACTGTATTTGTTATAGTGATCTGTGATCATCATCTTTGATGTTACTATTATAATTGTCTTGGGATGCCATAAACTGCGCCCATCTAAGGCAAACTTAAATTGATAAATGTGTTCTGTCTGCTCCACTGACCGGCCATTCCCCCATCTCTCTCCCTCTCCTCAGGCCTCCTTATTCCCTGAGACACAGCAATCTTGAAATTAGGCCAATTAATAACCCTACAGTGGCCTCTAAGTGTTCAAATGAAAGGAATAGTCATATGTCTCTTATTTTAAACCAAAAGCTAGAAATGATTAATCTTAGTGAGGAAGGCAAGTCAAAAGCTATAACAGGCCAAAAGCTAGGCCTCTTGGGCCAGTTAGCCAAGTTGTGAATGTAAAGGTAAAGTTCTTGAAGGAAATTAAAAGTGCTACTCCAGTGGACACATGAATGATAAGAAAGTGAAACAGCCTTATTGCTGATATGGAGAAAGTTTTAGCGGTCTGGATAGAAGATCAAACCAGCCTCAATATTCCCTTAAGTCAAAGCCTAACCCAGAGCACGGCCCTAACTCTTCAATTCTGTGAAGGCTGAGAGAGGTGAAGAAGCTGCAGAAGAAATGTTTAAAGCTAACAAAGGTTGATTTATGAGGTTTAAGGAAAGAAGCTGTCTCCCTAACACAAAAGTACAAGGGGAAGAGGCAAGTGCTGATGTAGAAGCTGCAGCCAGATGATCTAGCTGAGATAATTAATGAAGGTGGCTACATTAAACAACAGATTTTTAATGTAGATGAAACAGCCTTATATTGGAAGAAGACGCCATCTAGGACTTCCATAGCTAGAGAGGAGAAGCCAATGTCTGGCTTCAAAGCTTCACAGGACAGGATGACTCTCTTGTTAGGGGCTAATGCAGCTGGTGACTTTAAGTCAAAGCCATTACTCATTTATCATTCTGAAAATCCTAGGGCCCTTAAGAATTATGCTAAATCTACTCTGCCTGTGCTCTATAAATGGAACAACAAAGCCTAGATGACAACACATCTGCTTACAATATGGTTCACTGAATATTTTAAGCCCACTGTTGAGACCCACTGCTCAGAAAAAAAAATTCCTTTCAAAACATTACTGCTCATTGGCAATGCACCTGGTCCCCCAAGAGCTCTGATGCAGATGTACAACGAGACTAATGTTGTTTTCAGGCCTGCTAACACAACATCCATTCTGTAGCCCATGGATCACAGAGCCATTTCGACTTTCAGGTCTTATCTAAGAAATACATTTCATAAGGCTAGAGCTGCCATTGATAGTGATTCCTCTGATGGAGCTGGGCAAAGTTAATTGAAAACCCTCTGGAAAGGATTCACCATTCTAGATGCCATTAAAAACACTCGTGATTCTGGCAAGAGGTCAAAATATCAACATTAACAGGAGTTTGGAAGAAGTTGATTCCAACCCTCATGGATGACTTGGAGGGGTCAAGACTTCAGTGGAGGAAGTAACTGCAGATGTGGTGGAAATAGCAAGAGAACTAGAATTAGAAGCGGAGTCTGAAGATGGGACTGAATTGCTGCAATCTCATGATAAAACTTGAACACACGAGGAGTTGCTTCTTATGGATGAGCAAAGAAAGTGGTTTCTTGAGATGGAATCTACTCCTGCTGAAGATGCTGTGAAGATTGTTGAAATGACAACAAAGGATTTAGAATATTACATAACCTTAGTTGATAAAGCAGTGGCAGGGTTTGAGAGAATTAACTCCAATTTTGAAAGAAGTTCTACTGTACAGAAAATGCCATCAAACAGCATCACATGCTACAGAGAAATCATTCGTGAAAGGAGAGTCAATCAATGCCGCAAACTTCATTGTTGGCTTATTTTAAGAAATTGCCACAACCCCCCAACCTTCAGCACCCACCACCCTGATCAGTCAGCGGCCATCAACACTGAGGCAAGACCCTCCACCAGCAAAAAGGTTATGACTCACTGAAGGCTCAGATGATGGTTAGCATTTTTTAGCAATAAAGTATTTTTTAATTAAGGTATGCACATTGTTTTTTTAGACATAATGCTATTGCACACTTAATAGTATATACAAGTATTACTTATATACTAGACTATAGTATAGTGTAGACATAACTTTTATATGCACGAGGAAACCAAAAAATTTGTGTGACTCACTTTATTGTGATATTCACTTTATTGTAGTGGTCTAGAACCAAATACACAATATGTTCAAAGTATGCCTGTACCAGGTTTATTATCGATTTAAAAACAAATACCGTTTTAAAAAACCACAATGATGCGAAACATGACAGACATTTAAATTTCCCCTATTTAATCTTCACCAACTATTAACGTATGTGGAAAGAATGAACTGCTGTGACCCGTAAGTCTTTTCTTCTAGCCTCAGGGAGATTTGTCAAGATCCTTGCAGTATTAACTGAAAGAATCTATCCTTAGGAGATAAGGAAGAGTCTCGTCGGGGAGACGTTACACTGGTTAGTGATCCAAGGATGTCCCTGGGCATGCCGTACCCGGCTGCCCGACCGCTGACTGTCTAACCCGCCACGTATGCCTGCAGCTCACGAGAAATGGGCGCCATGCATGCGGCCTCTAAAGGACCCCAGCCCCCACGGCTCCCTTGTGCTGCTACATCTCCTCCTCAAGTTGGTTTCTCATCCTTTGTGGCCAAAACGTACCCTGGGTGTGACTGAGACACTGGAAGCTGGTGTCCGAGTCCTCCATGATGCTGTTTGCTATCAATACAGCTGTGTTCCCTGTTCTGCATCCTTTCTTAAGCTAAGTTAACTTGGTGCCAGGTAAGTCTGAGTGATGAGACTCTGGTGACGATACACTACAGTCGCACAGCACTTCGTCCTTTCACAGGACAAGGAGCAGAAATCACCATGAGCTACTTGTTAGATCCTTAGGGAACACAAGAATACCAATACGATCTTTTAAAAACTAGTCATGGAATGTAGCTTTAAAGTGCTGTGGCTCACTTAGTTAACGGTTAAAGCCCTCTGCCACTTGTCACAGTTACAGATTGGTCATAGCCAATAAGTAGCTATAAGGAAGGAAGACACACAAGCACTTGCAAAAAATTTAATTAGAAAAAAGTGTTTTAAAAAAATATTTAGCAGGATTATACTTTATGGGCCAAACATGTATCCATTCAAATTAATTTATTCAGGCTCCCTAATTTGTTTTTTAACTTTGTTCCATTCTACAGAGCATAAATATTAAATGCTTATAAAATACACTTCATATGAAATGATTTAAATACAACTCACACAATTCAAGCACAAAACAATGCATTATGGTCTCATGAATACATTTACAAAACCAAGTCATGAAAAATTAATGGCTTCAAATAAGTAGCTAATACTACACAAAGGCTTGCCCAACAAATGACATTTTAAACAGAGAAAGAAAAAAGTACAACTTCAATTAGTGTTATTCTTTTAGTAGTACTGCATGAGATTAAAAAACAAAGTTTCAAATTCTAGTAGTGGTATTAAGTAGTTTTCCAATCTGGATTAAAAATAGCACAAAGTCCTTAAAGTACTTAAATTATGAGAATATTTTGACTTTCTAGTTGTCAACGTGACCTTTAAAATATGCCAAGAGTGCAAATCGTAAGTAACAACGTGTAGACGCCCATAATGTCACACGTTTCTTATAATAAATCTGGCACTCTGCTGGCCCATACACACACAAGACAGCCTGACCTTTCTGGCTCAATGACAAGTGTATAAAATTGTGATTCTTAGAAGAATCTTACATCAAGTCCAAGAACAAAACATGTTCAACAAAAAAACTAACCTGTGCGCTTTTGTTTCTTAAAATAAAACAGTATAAATCAGATTTTTAACCTGCTACGTGAAAATCCGTTCTTAAAAGCGTCATACTTGTCATCTTCTTTTTCAGCTGAAAGGGTGAAGCACAATAGCCACAACTTTGTTACAGACTAAAATCCAACAGGTAATTCCAACACCACCTAAAAATAAAGAAATTCAACCTAAGCGAGCACGCCAAGAAGTCTGCCCCCAGTGCCTGCCCCTGCTACCTTTAACTTGCATTTCCATTCTTATTGAGCAGTGCTGGGCTAAGAAAGACTGAGTTTGTGTTTTGTGGGTTCAAATTCATCAGACTTTCTATTGAGTCACAGGACTGCCTTTACTAAGAAGGAATTACTCAGAATGGGCCCTGATTTGAATTTCTGTTCCTGCCAGAGAGATGTGCATTATTTATTTATGTTATCAGTAGACTGTAAGACCACCCTGTGGGTCTATCTGTTTCTCCCCTCTCAAAAAAGCATTATCAATGAAGCAATGTTTACCACCCACAGCTTTCTTCCCCACTGATAACTGAGACAGGAAGACAGGCTGCAAGAGCCCGCTGGATGCCTGGAAGGGTGGCTCTTGCTCCTCTGCTGGGCAACACTGAGAACCCACCAGCAGTGCCCTCACGCTGTGTTGGGATAAGGGGTGGGGTGGGGGGAAGGGGGTGTGGCTAAATTGGAAATCCTTGACACAGTCGTTCCTTTTGACTTAGTAATTCACCTCCAGCACCATCACAAATCACAACCAAAGACTGGCTGACAAGGATGTGTGCTGCAGTATTATTCTTGATAGCAAAAAATTAGGTCCTAAATATATATCCTGTAACAGGGAAATTAGTAAATTATGACACATCCAACAGCTATCCAAAATTCCTTAATAAAAATGTTTACTGATATAGGAAAAGGCTTACAATATAAAGTAAAAAGGGGTAAAATATTTTATGTGCCAGATGACCTTAACTATATAGGAATATATAGAAAAAAAGACTGGAAAAAATATACCCCAATGTTAACAGGGGTTATCCATAGCTAATGAGATTTTTTAAAAATTGTGCTTACATTTCTGATCATTCTACAATGACATGTACTACACTGTTAACATCCAAAAGAAATTATCTTTCAAAAAAAAAGAATGGCCGATAGCAGTAAGTGCTGCAGAGAGGCCGAGCATAATAAGAATTGAAAAGAGGTCACAGAACTTGTGAACTAGAGGTGGTGTTTCAATAAACAGGGTATCAGACTCCATGTACTGGGCTTGGATTCCGGAAACAGATGTGGGTTAAATTCTAGCTCTGCTTGTTAGTATTCTGGTGACACTGGACAGGTGAAGTCACTTCTCTAGACCTCAGTTTCTTCACTGCGATCCTGTGCGGGGCTGGGAGCACTGGTGACATGCACCACGAGGAGGACATCAGGATGACTTCATCTTCCACCACATACCTCTACATAAGCCCATCCACACTCTTCCACTATGTTTTCCAGAAAACTCTTACCTGCTACTTTAGTAGGAAATGCGACCAGGCGGTCTAGTGGAGTTATCCATTTGCTCGGCACCACGGCCACAGGGACAGAGTAATACTTCCAGATGAGTGACACCATCAGGGCAGCCTGCAAAGAAAGACACTACCGGTGAATGGAAACAACCTGCCAGTCACACAACCAACCACCACAGAAAGAGGGGGAAACGTGACAACAAACCAGAGAAACTCTCCAAATCGATGACCTCAAGCCCTATCAATCCCGTCACCAATAACACATACACACTATTAAATTAATGGATAAATTAACCAAGGTCCCCCATAACACAAGTGTTCTTTTCTCATTGAGTATCTCCTTTAAGTAGCCAGACTATGCTAAAAACACCTTATTAGTGACAAAAGCGACTGTATGCCTCTAAGATCCTTGAAAAACTAGTTAATTCTCGCATCCACACAGGAGCACTGGCATCCGCATGCAGGGGTGAGCCCTCTGCAAGCTGAAGTGGTGGGCGGAGGAGCAATGCTTTCTCTTTTCTCCTTCCCCACAGCACTCTTTCAGTTGTCTTCTGTCACCTTTGTGGCCTTGAACATGCCACTCGAATGAGCAGACCTAAAAGAGAGCATCCAGCTTCATTCCTGTCCCTGTGAAACCTACCTCGGATCAGAGTGACAGGGCCTCAGGATCAGTGCACTTAAATATACCCGAACAACCAGGGCTTTGGGGGTTGGCTCAAATCCTTTACCCCAGAAAAGCTCAGACACAGTACTAAAACTCAGAGATCATTTAAAGCAGCCACTGAAGTGTGTACGCAGCATATCCACCACCTCAGGGTCAAGACCAGTAATTCCACCGGGAAAGAAACAAGTAACAACCTCCCAGATAAGAAAGTGGAGGGGCCGGCCCCGTGGCATAGCGCTTAAGTGCGCACGATCTGCTGCTGGCGGCCCAGGGTTCGGATCCCGGGTGCACACCG